ATCAGAAAATGGCTCAGGACACTGACCTGATCCAACCATACTTGATGGCCAGAGATAAATCCCAGCGCATTTTCCATGGGTCTCAGGCGTACAAATCGGAACTCGCAGCCATCGTGCGCCACATCGAGGCAGTGCGAAAACTATATAACTCGACGAACACCATCAAGGAGCCATGGATTGACCAGAAGCCGGAGCAGAAGACCAAGCAGAAAGCTGAGCGCGCCGCGGCTGCTCTTGCCATGCATAAAAAATTTGCGGAGGTGATCCCGGAGATTGAACTTATGGACGTCAACGCAGTCGAGGAGCTCAAGGCGTCATACGCATATTATTTGGCGGAAAACTTTGGATTCACAGTTGCGTTCAAGACGCTCTGTACCATCAAGGCGCGAGCGACGCCGGGCGGAATCGCCCCGAGCTCACGGCTGTTTGACGAGTTGAAGACCATCTCTGGCGCAGCCTCGCGGGCGACGCTGGACAACGACGACTTTTGATTCGTTTTCTTATCATGTTATTGACACGCATTTCCAGTGATCTCGCGGAGTTGCGTCTGAGTTGGTTGTTATTTTTATCTAATACAAGTTTTGGATCGAGAGGTTGTGGCTCGCGAGCACTCAACACCGCCTTTAATTTCCGACCTGCAGAATGTCGACAGACTCGCCCATCAACTCGGACGCTCAAGTAGTCTTGAAGACCAACTGAAGACGACCGCAAGTTCCAAGATTGTCAAGAGCGTGCACGAATTAAACGACCTCCACCAGAAGCAAGCTCAATCCTGTCTTCAAGCCCTCTTTGATTGAAATGTTGCAAGTCTGATTCAAAACAGAAGATAGCGACGACAGAAGTTTACCACTGCAAGCTGTGGATCGACTTGGGACTCGAAGCCAAAAAAACGGCTCTTCAAACCCGCCTTGAAAGATGCCTTTCGAACAGTATCAAGGCTCTAACTTTTGTCCCATGAGCGCGGCGGAGAACTTTCAGCACTCTGGCGGTTTTATCAAAAGCGGTGCTCATCTGCTTGGTGCCATACTAGGGTATACTAGGGTCATAACAGTACCACACAACGCGTCTGTCCTCCCACCATGTACGCCTCCTCCGCAGCTCAAAAGGCCAAGCGACGGACCCACTCGCGCCCCGAACTTACAGATGAGCAGAAGCAGGAGGTCAAGGAGGCCTTCGAGCTCTTTGACACGGACAAGGATGGCGCGGTCGACTATCACGAGCTCAAGGTCGCGATGCGCGCCCTTGGCTTCGACATGAAGAAGGCGGAGGTGCTCAAGATCTTGCGTGATAACGACAAGTCTGGGCACAACCTCATGGACTTTGAGGACTTTGCGAAGATTAGTACGTTGACTAGGCCTGCCGTTTGGTGTGTGTACTGAGGCATTGCAGTGACCGAGAAGATACTCGCGCGTGACCCCAACGACGAGATACGGCGCGCGTTCCAGCTATTCGACGATGACGGCACGGGCAAGATCTCGTTGCGGAACCTACGGCGGGTGGCAAAGGAGATCGGGGATCGTCTGGAGGACGACGAATTGTGAGTGTCTGTCTTCACAACCAGGGCAGCTTATGAACGTCGCGCAGGCAAGCTATGATAGATGAATTCGACCTTGACCAGGATGGGGAAATTAGCGAGGCCGAGTTCTTCGCCATCATGACCGACGAGACATGGTGCGCGCTGTGCGTGGCTTTCACTGCTGCGTGTCCTCACAGGCTTTTCAGAGTCCCGATTTTCTGTTTCATTTATCCGCTGTCGCATTGCTGTAACTTGATCATTGTAATACATCTTGCACACTATCCCTCATTCCGCTGTGAACACCCAGCTCGTGTCCTTCCCCTCGCCGCCCGCCCGCTTTACGACACCCTCGCTCTCGAGTTTCCTCAGGTGGAGGTCGACGCCGCGCGCCGCAGGAAGCCAGAGCGACTCCGGGTAGCCCGCGTAGATGCTAGCGACTAGCGTCCACGTCGTCCACGAGGGTTCCCCCTCTCCTGGCGCCATCGCGGGCGGCGACTTCAAGACGGCCAGGATCTGGGCCTCGCGCTCGAGCCGATGCTTGATATACGTCGTCAGGACCTGCTCGCCATCCGCAACGACAGGCCCGTGTCCCGGATAGAGCACGCGGGCACCCTGCGCCCGGGCAAAGTCGAGCATCTTGCGCAGGCTGGCGAGATACGCCGCGAGGTCCTCGAATACGGCTGTGCCCTGCCCGAGGACGGTGTCAGCAGTGTAGAGCGCGCTGTCTTGCGCGACGTGCAGGCAGATCGAGTCCACCGTGTGCCCTGGGGTGTGCAGGACGCGCAGCGTGGGCCCGACAACCTGCCCGTCGTGCAAGTCGTGGAAATGCGTGCCGTGGGGGCCTGGCGTGTACGAGTTAGGGGGCAGGGACTGGAGGATGGACGAGAGATTGTTGGGCGGGCTCGGTGCCAGCTGGCCGGGAAACTTGTGCAGGCGGGGGGGCTTGAATGTCGCCGTGCCGTTTGGGTTTCGCGCATCCCACATGCGTCGCAGGAGCGCGAGCACAGCCGGCAGACCGCCTACGTGGTCGTGGTGCCAGTGCGAGATCACGATGTCGGATACATCCGCCTCGCGAGCGTCCGAGGTGCCCCCGACGTCGCGCAGCGCCGATTCGAGGAGCGGGGTGTATTCTTCGCGGCCCTCCCCTGTGTCGATGAGCGTGAACGGGCGCTGCTTCCCAACAATGTATGTGTTGGTTCCTGGCGAGAATGGGAATGGGCATAGTGGATGTTGCTGATTGGTCTACCTTGTAGGGTGAATTTTCCCGGATTCTGCACAAGGTTTGTGGGGCATATCAAAAGCAAGCGCAGGTCTCACCTGGCCGAGGACCCGGATGACGTTGTCGCTGAGCTGGTTCTGGTGAGTCGCGTACAGACCCTCTTAGGCTGTGCTAACCCTGGCGATGGATGACAGGGCCTCCAATTTATCCATAGGTCGATTTGGACCGCGCGCGGCGTTGGTGAAAGTCAAATGCAGGGCTCCGGACCCGGATACAAGTTAACCGGAAGCTTTTCGCAAGTAGAAACTTCAGGCATCCCAAGATGTACTTACTCGTCCCCAAATACGATTCCATCCAGTCTCCTACCCAGCCGCGGTTTCGGGGGTCATCAATACCACAGCAGCAGCTGTGTTGGGAAGACAATTGTCATTGAGAACAAGAGCAGTATTTGGCACTGTGGTGGCAGCGGAGTAAACAAACGGCTCATTGTCACCGCCAAAGCGGAAGAATGGGCATGGATCCCCGCATTGTGTGCTGCGCCGGGTATAAATACTGGGCGTGCGCACCGGGGCAAGATTAAGACTCCCGGTCTACCCTCTTTGCTCTCAACGCCTCTAGCCAGCTTCCATTTGCTCTACGTTCTCGAATCTCTTGACGTCTTCTGCTCTCTTCGGATACTCTTTGCAATATCTGCAACATCTCGCTCTTCTTCAACGCCCTTGACACTCCTGGTATGTTGTCTACTCTTCGACTCCGGACTTTGACCAATCTTCATCTGAATAGTTTTGACTTTCTTTGACGTTCTTGTCATCCTCGCATTTTACGCCCCTCACGCTTGGTGCGCCCTCCCTTCCATCCCGCTGTACCTATAACTCATTATGCTCTCACAGATCCCATTTTACGCATTCCCGGCCGAATGTCTTCGTCTGCTATCCCCCACGTCATCGCCTTCCTCACCCGGCCCCTTCTCACGTCCTTCCCCGCGGGCACCATCGGTGCCGCGCAGCTCATCCTCACCGCCTCCCTCGCGTCCTCGCCCGCCGCGACCCTCACGCTCACCGCTGACACTCCGCCTATGCCCATCTTCGCGGCCGCAATCGGCGCGAGCATCCCCTGGCCCGTCTGGTTCACAGCCCTCGCCTCCGGGAGCGAGTCCGTCCTTCTCTTCTACGGCCCGGGCTACGTGAAGGCCCGCGTTGGCGATGCCCCCATCACCGACGTCTGGAGCGAGGACAGCGAGGGCAGTGTCGTGCCCATTGCGCGCTCGCGCGTCAAGGGCGCCGCGCCCCTTCTCCATGAGTCCACCGGCGCGCGCCTGCGGGCCACTCTCCTCTCCGCCCGCGTGCGCAGCATGCGCCGTGCACAGGAGGCGCAGGCGATCCGCATCCCGTGTCTCCCCACCTCCGCGACCGACTCCGACTCCGATTCCGAGTCGGACTCGGGCTACTCTGACTCGGACCGGTCGACGACATCGTCCATCACCACCGCTGCGAGCTCCGCGCCGGCCTCCCCGCTCAAACCCCGCTCGGTCGCCCTCCCGACGCCGCCTGGTCTCGTCGCACCTGTAGCCCCCGCGCTCTACCGTGCGCCTCGATCCACCGCCATCACCACGAGCACACCTCCTCGCGCCCGCCTCCCCCCCAGGAAGCTGCCGTCCGCGCCTGTGCCGAAACGCGCTCTGGCCCCCGCCGCCGTCGACCCGACGAACAAGAGCACCACTGCGTACCTCTACTCGGGCGGCGTCACGCGCGTCATGACCGGCGGCGTTATGCTTGGCCGTGTCGCCGCATCCAAGCGCTCCTAATCGAAGTTTTACGCCCCTCGGATGCGACATGCGCTCGATGCGCTCTCGACCCTACGACCCCCACGTTCGCATTCAATCACAAATTCTGTAGCACCTCCCCCACCCTCTGTAGCTATGCACTCTCTACTTTATATTCGGTAGGTAAGTATGTTACCGGTTACCACTAGTAGTTTTATTCTGTAGAACTTGAATGCCATCTTGGATTCTTACAACGTGCCTTTTAAAGACTCTGAACACAACCTACCAGTGGATACAATAATTACATCGCACGTCCAGTATCGTACGGGGTAATGGGACGGGGGGATAAACAATACTCGAGTACGTTCTGAAGCATATGATATGTAGGGTTATGATGCACCCGATATGCAAAGCGTCAAATGGAGGTTTCGCGTTTTTCTTCTGGTCTACATCGCTACACTCGTTTCACAAGAAAATGGAAAGAGAGACAAAAGGCAAAAGAATGGACACATTGGGAATTGAACCCAACACCTCTCGCATTACAGGCCCTTACGGTTAAACCGTTTTTAACTGGGTTGCTAAGCGAGCGTGATAACCAACTACACCATGTGCCCGGTTATCATTAGCATCGCAGGGAACAACTGATAGGTATGCCTCGGCTCAGATACGCGGACAAAATTCAAAATCTGGACGAGATACATAGGTCAGAGGGAAGTTCAGACAGATTACACATTGCCTCTCCAGACCTCAGATCAAAGTTCGGACAAACATGATTCCCACCGCATTTTAGAGGCCGTTTGGAACAGTTTACATTCACAAGCAGAAACTTTAGTTTCTGATTGTGCTTAGAGTACCTAAAATGTCGCCAAAAAGTACATGTGACTTTGCTTGCACATCTTTGTCCAAAGCAGTGTCGTCGTCATCGTCTATTACTAATTGCTACAAGAAACACTTCTTGAAGTTGCAGTACTGTCTCCAGTATTCATATATTCAGAGATTCATACGCTGAGTCGACAGGACATATAGTGTCTTATGTATCAGAAAAAAAAAACTGTTCTGCTTGTGACCCGCCGCTCGCCGGCCATTCCCTATCATATAAAGGGATTCAGTATCCTAGTCGCGGCCCGTCACGTGACGGGCCGTCAAGTGACTCAATTCACCCTACAACACTCCCTTTGACTAGTCAGAGTCTCTGAGTAATCCAATCCGCGAAATCGACACGAGATACAGCAATATAGGCGTCTAGCGGTAACTCTAGGACGCCTCACAATCATTCGGTCGCAGCAAACGCCGGCTCTCCTCCGCAACTCCGAGTCCTCAGGCTCGCAACGGAACTTTGACAAGCTCTCGCTTTCAACTTTGGGTGCTCTACTATCTGTCTGGACCGCCGCCCATCACAGACCGCATCAACATCATCTGCCAGTTCTTGAACCCGTACCGAGTCCCCGCATCCGAGACTTGAAGTCCGCCGTCGATATCGCCATATCCGTCATCGACGTCGCTTCAGCAATCTAGTATGCACATTCGAGATCCTGCCACAACGCAGGTGAGCTGCAACCGCTTCCGTGTCGTTTTTTTTTTGCCGCAGATCCAATCAAAGCCTGGCCCGCAATTGTTTTCTCACTGGATCAATACTGGATGTACACAAGGGCACTGCTCCCGCCATAGTAACGGCATCCAGTACAAGGGCGCCTTGCTTGTGTTCTCCCCCGTTCCCGGTTGACGCGGACTCCGCGTCTATGCAAGTCTCACGCCGGTACCCAAATTTGAAAGCTCCCCGAGCAAATTGAGCCGCCCGCAAGGTGATACCCATCTGCTGATGGCGCATCGCAATTTTCTGCTCGCGCTTTGAATGGTGTGCACAACCCCGTGACAGGCCGCGACCGCCAACGCAGACTGACACGCCACAGACGTGCACTGGTTCGCGGTTCTTCGATTTTCAAGTGGACGTTCACACGGCGCGCGAGACTGGATCTTTCTCGGCAACTAAGGCAACTAAGAAAGACAGAAAACGCACTGATGACAGCCGTTCGGGCCTGTTTTGTCCCTGCATACATTATCTGATTGCAACGCAGGATTCAGAAGTACATAATTCTCAGTGGCCGAGCCCTTCTATATTTTCAACCAAGAACAAAATTTGGACCCGGTTTGTTTTTGCATGCCGACCAGATGCGTAATAATCTCTGGAAACAGATTAGTAGATGTCGAGGAGACGCACAGAAACACAGCTGGCGGGGTTAATCCTTCCGATCAACTGTCGAAGCTCAGCAGCACTCAGCCACAGCTGATGGACACCGAGATTCAGATAATAATATTGCGATGCTGTCTAGCCTGGAATGCCTAGTCTGTTGATGCGCCGATCGGTCTTATTGTCAAGCCCGCCCCCCACCCAGGCCCGTGATTCTACTTCCATTTTTATTCATCTTCTCATTACTTGGTCCTCTGATTTCTATCAGCGGTCCTCCAGAGTGAGCTTCAATCAGAACATCGCACCGGCTTAAAGACTAGTAACCCACTCTCCTTCTTGATTCCTGAACGTCGAACCCCCCGAAGTTGAACCACAATTTCATATCATTAGTTCACGCCTCGCAACTTAAAACAGTCACCTGACCGTGTTCTTCAAGAAACAACTTCAACTTCAAAGAATCAGATATCACGAAGCCTCTGGAGGATTGAATGACCCGCGGCGAGCTGGCGGAATAGTTCCCAGATGATTCGTTTCTTATTAGTTTCAGATCCGATCGAGCCACATCGAATACCTTATGCAGCAGCTTATGCTGTACAGAACTGTGCGGAATTCCAACGGAATTCTCACCGCCGCGTGGACAGCAGCGAGCCAAACGCGCTTCAGCTTGCGCGTAAGTCCTGTAGAGATCTTCAAAACCCACGCGCACGACAGAGACTTGAGCCTACGCGAACCGGTCTTGACTAGCTTGACCTCCCGGGCCCGCCGCCTTCCAACCTCTGCACCTTTTAGCACAGAGCCCGCCGCCCGGCTCCCACTTACAAAGACTATCATACAGACATAAATCAGATACAAGTGGCGATACATTTGAACATGGAACCTCATTATACGCGAGGAGACATAAGTAAAATCAATAATAAACGAGGGAGCGACGCGGCACGAGCACGCGCTAGCCGTACCACTGCTTGCCGAGACGCGTCCCCGCGCGCGCACGCGTGGGGATGAAGGGCTCGCGGATGTCGAACACCTCAATTGCGCGCTGAGAGTGGACAAGATGTGAGTCAAGAAAAAGGAGAAGAAAGCGAGGCCGCGCCTTCCACGTCGCGACGTCAAACTCGAGAATCATCTGCCGCTTCAGGAGCACCGCCTCCGCGCGGTCCTCGTCCGACGGAGGCTCGCACGCAACTGCGCGCGAACAAAAGAACGTCAAAGCTGCGGATCAAGGGGAAGAAAGGGGACGCACAGACGACGGGCTCACCCGTGTCCTCGCTCGTCTCGAACGCGACCTTGGCGTCGCGGACGAGGAAGGAGAGGTAGAAGATGTTCTCGACGGACTGCGCGAAACTCGCGGGGTTGGTCACCAGCTTGAACAAGTTGATCTTCTCCACGCTCTCCAGCACTGCCGCGACGGCCGCGACGTTCTTCGTCGTCTCGTTCTCAGATCGCTGGATGTCCTCCTCGCGCAGCTCCTGCGGGCGCGTCTCGTCCTTCTTGTTCTTCTCGAACTTCTCGCGCGGCTTGTGCGGCGCGCGCTGCTTCTGCGGGAGCGAGAGCGGGCCCAGCCTGCGGCGCGCGTCAGATCCCAGCGTGGAGGACGTGTGTAACGGCCCCGGCTCACATGTACCCCATCGCCGGAACGCGTCGACTCTTCGCGAGCGCGCGCCGGCCGATCTTCGCCCACTCGAGCGGCGCGTCGTCCTCCTCGACGTCGGAGTTGTCTGACGCCGCGTCCTCTGGCGGGCGGTACCCGCCCATGAAGGCCGTGAGCTTCGTGATGAAGTTGTCCACGTCGAAGACACCCGTGCCGAACTTGAGCCCGCGCGCCTTACGCGAGTTGATCGTCGCGGTTTTGACGAGGAACGCCGAGTCGAGCGTCGCCTCCTGCGGGTTCTTGACTGAAGTTCGGGTGAGTGCGCGGGACACGCATGTTTACGAGAGGGCGCACCATTCTGGAAGAGCTCGTTCGCGCGTTCGACTTTGGTCTCAAGTTCTACCGCTGTATGGTCTACATGCGGGTCATCTAAAGAGATGAAAGCCGAGGTGAGTTCAGTGAGCTTAAAAAGATGCGCCTGTGCGCGTCCGGAGGAGATACGATTAACGCACCGATGGTTTTGTGAAGCGAGCGATAATTTCTCCGGATTTCGCGTTTCTCTTCGGGGTCTTGGTCGGGGTCATAAGCCAAGCCTGAAAAAGGGAATCAGACATGCCTCATGCAGTGGGCGGAGCACAGTAGACTGAATACGCACCCTCTTTCCTCGGGGAGCCTTGAGAGGACATGGTAGTTGAGAGCAGGAGCGATCACGCTTAGATCACGCGTTATTTGGCCATGTCTTGCACGGCCACTGGCATCAAGCACCAATACATATTCCGGACACAACGCCCCCAAAGCACTGGCAGCAGGCTCGAGTTGGAGCATTTCAACGTGGAGGCCGGCTCAGCCTTGGTCCCTCATCCTCTAGATAGAAAATCAACCAAAAATCGTCTGGATCGCCCAATGATCGCCCATAATATGCACCCCAAGGTCATCGGCCCACGGGCCACAATGGAGAGTTTGCGCCGCGTTCGGGCGGCGTTCCAGAGCTCTGTCACCGCTTTCCTGAGCAGGCTGCAGCTGGCTCCAAGTTCCTCGGTCCAAGCGTATCTGATGGACCCAGCGGGCCGCGGTTGCACCGCGAGAAACAAAGCGTCAGCCAACAATCAAAGCACATCACCTTCTCGGACACTTTCTGCGCTTTGATCTGCTTTGATTATGCCCTTGGAGACTCGTGCTAGCAGGCTTGTCCCAGGCTGCCGCCGCGCTCCCCATTGTTGCAGCAGGTTGCAGCGTTGGAAGCAAGGGATCACACTGTGTGCGTCCCACGGGCTGCCGCGAGGCCTAAAGAGAACGACGGTGAATACCGCTTTGGGTATGTTCATCATGATCTCTGTGATTATAGCGAGGGTCTCTACACGCGGAAAACACGACGTGCTATTAAGAGGGGGTAAGTGTCCCACGGCCTCCAAAAAGGTAGTCGGGATCGTCGAGCAAAGCGCTCTTAAGCTCCAGACGCGAACAACTATGGCAGCACATTATCTGGCCTCTGACCTCGCGCCCTGCACTCGCTCTTCATCCGCAACCCATCCCCCAACATGCCCGTCGTCCGCAGCGTTATCCCCTACCGCAAATCGCGCAGACTCCGCAAGACCTCGGACGCGGATCAGTATGACGGTCCGTGCATCTCTTTCCCCCAATCCTCATTCCGTTTGCTCACAAGACGCGACAGATGAGGATGGCCTCTGGGAGCCCTACGATGAGGCCCTCTTGGACGCGCTCCCCACGCTCCCTGCCAACCCCTCGCCTTCACCATCGCCATCGCCCGCGCCAGACGCGTCGCCAGCGCACATCCCCCGCCCGCGCAACGCCTTCATCTGCTTCCGCTCCGCCTACGT